CTTTTTAATAATAATAATAAATGTCATTGTTATGCCAGGAAATCTTACTGTGGACATTTGTTCAGTTTGACATGAGTTTAGATTATAATTGTATCTTCAACTGTTTCAATCCTGTGCCTTTGCTAAATGAGCCTCACTATTTAAAGCAAGATCAACCCGAGTTATGTATGTACCTCTTTTGGTTTTGTTCTGGTTCAGAATCACGACAACAGCAGCCTGCATGATGGATCTGAGGAGATACCCATTGGACGAACAGAACTGCACCCTGGAAATTGAGAGTTGTAAGTTTTAGCTCCACGTCTTGTGCTTGGTAAAGAAATACAGCGGACAGCTCTACTTTTTCATCACTTAAAAATATGAACCGCACTGTAATTCTCGTAAAAAGTTCTCACACTCCTCATCTCGTGGAGACAGAAACTGCACCGACTGCTGAATTGCTTTCGATTTATTAAGACGTCGTATCTCAGTGAGATTGCTTGCTTCACCCTGTCCAGTCAAAGCTACTTCGTCTATACAGATTTTAAGCAGACAGTGGAGCAGCACGGTAGAGTGTGGTTATAATTTGTCCAACTTCATACATCTTGATGATATGTCTCTCTGTGCTGCCATTAACTATACATGGATGCAAGGATTCCATGCATTTGGTATGTGTGTCTGCCCGCAGTGACACACAGCCCCATGAAGATTTACATCTCAAGCACTCAGCACTTACAGCCACATGAGCCCTTGTGATTCTAAGGTTTTGTTGTAAATCAACTGCAGCTACAGTAGACAGGTCACTTAATCAAATAAGAGCACATGATTAATACTACAAAATGAGACGACTACAGAGCTATTTCAATAATAAGAATCACATCTCACCTTGTTATCTATGTCTCTCTTTGCAGATGGTTACACAACAGATGATATAGAGTTCTACTGGAAAGGAGGAGACACTGCAGTGACGGGGGTGACGCGCATCGAGCTGCCTCAGTTTTCTATAGTCGACTACAAACTGGTGTCGAGGAATGTGGTTTTTTCCACAGGTAAGTGAACAGTCATCCTGGAAGAGGGCAGAAATAAAAAATAATGCTAATTAGTTCACGCATAATTGGATATATTTTTCATCAAATCCATGAGATAGCATCCTGCAGAGCACTTTTGCCTCTTTTGCTTAAATGTAAACTAAAATCCTACTGCATCAATGTTCGTGTTCAATTCCATGACCTTAGAGCGGCAGGAACTCTTACATCTCTATTGTATTACTACATAACATGAAATATACATGGCTAAATAAGAAACATCAAGCATAAAATATCTTAGTCATAATTTATTAAGAGTTCAGTGCTCCAAAACTCTGTAGTTCTGCTTCAGGTGTGTGTTTATGTCATTTGAAGAGATTTCTGTTATGTGAAAAACAGGTTCAACTTCTGCAATAAACTATAGTGGCTGAGATGGCTCAGTGAAGTGAAAATGCAACGGAAAACACAAATGCAAAAGCCACAACACAACGGAAGTGTGTGACAATGGATGTTGACCATGAATTGAGCAAAGTGACTTGCTGTAGACAAGTCAGTGTTGTGGCTTTTGTGGTAGAAAAATTGTGTTTCCTTGTGTTATTCCCATCACTCCTAGGAAGACACTGAGAGAGAAAAGTCTCTAAAGTTTTACCTGAGGAGCCCAAATGTCAGCAGATCTCCTGTGTTTTGTTGTTCTGCAAGAGTGTACGCTTTCCTAATTAAAGGATTTTTCATCATATCAAGGCTTCTAACACTAGAACACAAGAATAGGGAATAATTATTGAGAGGCATGTCTGAGGAGGGATAGGAGGCAATTATCCCTTTGTTTCTTCAAGCTCCTGATAAAGGAAAGGTGGCTGTACTTACAGCGGTGTAATGTATTCATGAAGCAGAAAGCACAAATTATCCTCCTGTAATACAAAACCTCAGAGGCACCAAAACGGTGATTATTCCCACTGCTGAATTAGTGACAAGGAGAATGGATATTTTTACTGAACATTCTGTGGGGGGGTGATACTGAGAGAGCTGATAACAAGAATGTAATATTTTACATTTTCTATTTACACTGACATGATTGGGAATGCATTTACACAGATGAGAATACTGATACCTCTCATACTGTATTCTGAAGCTGCAGCTGGTTTGGATTAAGAGAGAAATTCCCTGTCTGTGTATCAGCACCTACAAGGTCACTAATCAGCATTTAACATCTCATCATTAAATCATAATATATTTATGATAAAGAACATAGACTGTATATAAAGATGGACGACATGATGACCCTCCAAATGTAAAGCCAAAGCATCTTGATCGCCTCCTGGTGGCATGTTGCAGTATCGGTCGTAGACCCTGCCTCCTCCATGTTGGCAAAGAGGACATGGGCCAAACTAAAAAGTCAGAATCAAGAAATCATTACAGGTAGTTCTTTTCACACTGATTGTTGTTTAACTGTTTGTTAAAGTGTTAATTATTCCAGTAATGTCATGATTGAAAGCTGAGACTGACTTGTGATTGCTCGACGGGACCTCGATACCATCCCCGATCGCTACTGTGCAGCCTTGCTCCAAGTGGACCATGCAAGAGAGTGGAAACACGTGGTTCATCTTTATATACAATTTATGATACAGACATTATAATAATAATATCGAACGATTCCTTTATGCAATGTCCTAGTATTGTTTACTGTGCAAACTGTGTGTGTTTATATTTTCCTCTGTACTGTATATTGTGGTCCTTGCGCACATATAATCCCAAGGCTAAATTGTATCAGATGATTTGCAGTTTGAATCACAAACTTTCTATGCGGATGAATCAGTTTATAAAACCATTTTCACAGGAATCAAAACAAAATTCATTACATCCCTGTGTTTTTCTTGAATCAAAGGTTTAAGCTTGGCCTTGTTCTCCTGCAGGTGCCTACCCTCGACTGTCTCTGAGCTTCAAGCTGAAGCGAAACATCGGATACTTCATCCTACAGACGTACATGCCCTCCATCCTCATCACCATCCTGTCTTGGGTGTCTTTCTGGATAAATTATGATGCCTCGGCTGCCAGAGTTGCATTAGGTATGATGTGTCCAGTAGATTGACCTCAGGTCTGTGGTTTCACCTTCAGATAGACTGTTGTGTTTTATGGTCTGGGCGGATGGGTTTGTGAACAGTGACAAGCTCTGTCCCACAGCTACAAACCGGACAGATGACAGATACTATAATATCAACCCAGTCAAAATGATTTTCTTAAAAACCTTAAAACTAACCGAACAATTATTCCTTTCAAATTGACATCTTTATCTTAAGAAATTAGATTAATATATCCTGACACTGTAGTGTCCGTGTCAGTTAAAACTTTATTTTGCAGTCTTACTGCTATAGACGTACAGGCTGAAAAGTATAGAAACAGTTTTGCACCAAGAAAGTATCGATGTGCTGGAACAGAGACTTCTTTAATGATCCATCTTAAAGTGTATGTTTGATATGGGGCTTTAGTTATTTATTGCTGAGGAATCCTGAATGGATAAAAAAAAGGGGGTTTAATAACTCTGGTCTTCGGGGCCTGTGAAAAAAGAAAAGGCTTGACTGAAGAGAACTATTGACTATCTGTTGTACATCTGGTACTATTCAGTTAAAATGTCTTTAAAGAAGTGTCAAGGCAGCAGGGAGCAGGCCTTTAGGTGCTGAACGTTTTCTGTCTATGCTGCATAGGTGGTGGAAATGTGCCAAATGAACTATACAGAGGTCTGGTGTGGAGGCAGAGGCACATTCTGCCTGAGATGGAGTTACACACTGTTTGTCTTATCTTTAGAATTGTATCTGTGAAAAATGACTGAATAGAAGTGTTGCAATACATTTGACAACATGTGTTAACAACTATACCTTACTATGTCTATACACGTCTGTCTTCACATTGTTGAAACATAGCGCCTTGACTGAAATAGATTTTTGGGGTTGATGCTGATACCAAAATGAGGTACTAAAAATACATTTCTGATACCATTACACTTATAATATGTATATCATATATTATATTGATGCTTTACAGTTTAATCATACAATATATGTACTTTATTATGAATGGATGTGAAAAGAAAAACACAAATACAACCAAATATATAGACCGTAAATTTAGAAATGTAAGTATAAGATGTGCAGAAAACTGCACATCTTCTCTACAGTTTATTCTGTAAAATAAAAGTTTTCATGTCAGCAATGATAAATGCAGGGGCCAATAATTCATGGGCCAACCAAAATAGTGGTTGGGTTCTATTAATAAAAAATACTAAGCTTTTTCCATAAAGAATACTCATCTCCACATTTCTCTTCAGTTTGTGATTTGATAATCTCTTCTCACAAACCACTGATTTGATGGCACTTTGCTGCAGCTGTGAACCATCACTCTCACACTGGTTGTAAAGAACAAATAAAAAATAGGAGATAGACGCAAAAGAACAAGATGACATTTAAGTGGGAGGTAATGAGATGCTCTGAATGGATGGCTACACAGCAGAAAATGTGACTGTGTTGTTTCACGGACCGTGCTTATGATTGATGGCCTCTTCTGGCCCTCTGAGACATTGCAGTGTGGAAAGAGCATCTGCGGTGAGCTCATGTCAAGCTCATGAAGTTTAACATACTGTGACCTGACAAGATGATAGGTTGTTGTTGGCCAACGCAGATCATAACCAGGGGATGTGACCTTTTCCAATATAGTTTAATTTATCTTATTCCTAAACTGACTGAAGTGACATTTCCCATCTTTGTTTGGAGTCACATAGGTACTGAGAAATGTTTAACATACATTTTAGGCCTCAGAGATTTATCAGTTTGAGAAGTGTTTTTGTTTTCCTAAATGGATTTGTCGAAAAATATTAAAATAACTCAAATTTTGTGTTATGGCTTGGGAACTAAAACTCAGATGATGTTTCAGATGTTTCAAGTAGGAAAAATTCAAACAATACCCATCCCTGGGTCATGGGCATGGCAGGAAAAGATTGTGACATGACACAACACACAAGTGGTGAATTAATCCAACGTTAGTCATATGTTGAGATAAACAAGATACAAAAATAATATAAAATGAAAAATGATACATAATAAAAGTGCCATCACGTGTGTTTCTTCGAGTCTGTTTGAGTCAGATGCTCAATGGTGTAATAGGAGAGTGACTACCCACACTTTCCTCAGGCCTGTGGGACTGAAACAGATCTGAGGTTCAGTTCACTGGAAAACACCCGACTTCCTCTATACTGCATTGATCTCTGCTGAAATATTTGCCTTAATGGAAATCCTCATTCATCATCTGTGCACTCAAGCGAGAAAGGGCTGCTTCCTGCAGCATTCCTTTAACTTCTGCTGTGATAAGAAGGATGTGGTCGATTATACAGAAGCACCTCTTCAGGGTCAGACCTGTTCAGGGGACACTCTCCTCTGGTTGAACTGCTGTAACACCTCCTCCTTTAGAAAACCACTGTCTGAGACAATGCAAGATCAATGCCATTTAGAAACCATTTACACTTAGTGTATTATCCAAATCAAATTCAATTCTCTTTATATGATGATTCACTCCAGGTTTCCTTCCTCTCCACCATAATGGTGCCCTGATGTCTTCAGAACTAGGCTACATGTGTAGGCATATCTATCAGGCTTCATGTTAGATAAGTGGACAATTATGTTTAATGTGGGACATTAAGAGTTCATACTGTATATTTACATAAAATCTCACAGTCTATAGATTTATATCAGGTAATTGACCATTTGCTAAATGCTCTCTCATCTCTAGCAGGCAAACATTTAGTTTTCTGACTAAATAGACACCTGCTATTGGTTGATTTCTTGTAGCTGGCTAATGAAGCTAACATTAGCATGAAAACACTGTCTTTAAGTGGCATTGTAATGTTTACCAGCTTTGGCAAAAATGTTTGCATCCTCATGATCCATGGAGAAGAGAGGTTCCCAAACTTTTCAGCCCCTGCCCCTTAAAATAACCATGCCAGAGACACGTGACCCCCACTATCCCAAAGGATATTGATTTGACCAAGTTCAGAAAATAAGAAGGCAGATTATTTGTATGGTTTTATTTTAAATGTAACTAGTTGTTTGTTTTTTTTACTTTGGAACAATTATGTCTAAAATATGATATTGAGAATTGTTTTAAATTGTATTCGATTTCTGGAATCATCTCATAACCTTGCTTCTGCGTCTTGTGACCCCACAGGAGGTCCCTGCCCCTACCTTAGGGATATAGAGGGTGTGGAAATAAACAGCGCTTTGCTCACTTGTATTACAGTGTGGCACTAGTGAGGCCTAGTGTATGATGAGCAAGAAATAAGACTAGTTATTTATTCAATTATTTTTTACATAACTCTCTTTGGCTGTCAAGCTTTTCTTCATAGTTTCAGATCATTGGTTTCAGAACAGAAAAGGCTTTTAAGATGTGTACTTACCTAACTAATATTGGTAATATTGAGCTTGACATACATAAAGCGACGTGATTTACTTTGTAATTTGGGACACTTTTCACAGATTATCAAATGTTCATCTTTTTTGGCACAAAGAACACTAAAAGCTGTGTCATGTCTCCTCTGAGTATGATATCTCCATTCTTTCTTCTGGTGTAGTGACAAAACATCTTAAGGATTACAGGAAGGTATAATTTGTTGAACTAATGTCTAAAACAGATATTGGAAAAAGTCCAGTAGTCAAAATTGTCCCAGATTTCCCAAATTCACCCGTTATGATTATCAGTTCTTTATCCGTCCATGTACTAGTACTATGCACTGATGTAAAGTCCACAGTACTGCAGTGAATATATTTGAGGGTTTGTTGAGAAACCATCTCTTCTGAGCTTTAAGAAGGTTTAGATTCTTGTTCTTGCCTTTGTTATGCAGAAATCGAAGCCATGTACCTACAGAGCTCTTGACACCCACACAGTACAGTGCAACAATTTTGGTCTAATTATGTAAGCCTGACAGAAATAGACACACTGTCCAGGCTGGTGACATCCAGGAGACTAAAAACAAAACACATTCATCGGTGATCATGGACAATATCAAGAGAGTTACGACTGCTGTTCATGCAGCTCATGTATTTGCTGAGTCTGTTCTGTCTTTGTATGCTACATGAGCTGTAAACCATGTAGTGGAGCAGTTTCTGCTTATTCAATCAGGGAATTGTATCTGCAGCAGATGAAAGTGACTCATGTTTCTCATGTTTGGACCTTGACATGCAGATACAATGTTCTCTCTTAATGAGTTATTATAATTCTAAAGAGTAAACCTTCATTTTAGGGATTGTGCCTTGGCAATTTTTTTCCAGCCTCTAATTTATTTAAGAATGCAGTTACAGAGACTCCTAAAGAGACAGTTTTGTTTTATCTGTTGCCTGTAAATCCACCCACATACACTCACTGAGGCCTTGAGACTGACTGCTTAGTAAATCATTTGATTTCACATCACAGCAGCTGGGGTCCACTCTGCTCTGACTGGCACATCACTGATATCATGAGACAGAGGTTGATTCAAACACGGTGGTCCAACTAGAATAAAATCTATTATGTTGTGTTAACTTTCATAAATGATCATGATGACAGTATTAAATTAAAAAGGGACAGTGTTAGTATCTTAGAACTGGAATAAATACTATTTTAATTATAGTTACTATGAGTAATATGGATTTGCACAGCAATTAAAAAATACAGGTGAAAGAAATACAAATGTGTAGTTTATGACATTTACATAAATTCACCCACAGAAGGTTACATCTGCATTATGACTAAGACATAATATGCACATTTTTGTGCACATAAAATGGCTCATATAGAAAAGTTCCCTGGAGCTCAGGCTTTTATATGACAGAACAAAAGCATATGTACCTACATATTTAAGATTACTTGTGTTTGTTGTGTGTCTCTTAATTCATTTTTTCTTTCTTTCAGGGATCACCACTGTCCTGACCATGACAACCATCAACACCCATTTAAGAGAGACTCTGCCCAAGATCCCATATGTCAAAGCCATCGACATGTACCTGATGGGCTGCTTCGTGTTCGTCTTCCTGGCTCTGCTGGAATATGCCTTCGTCAACTACATCTTCTTTGGGAGAGGTCCTCAGATGCAGAAGAAGCTGGCAGAGAAGGCGCAGAAGGCCAATAATGACCGCAACAAGTTAGACAGGCCCAAGGTGAGGAGACCAGTCACACTTTATTTTTAAAAGAGTTGCACAAGCAATGTCAACCTGTTCTTAAGTAATTATAATTAAGTAAATATAATGAAACCAGTGTTTATTCTAGACGTGGGTGTTATGGCTCAAATCAGTATGATGATAATGAGGATGATAAATAGCAATATTTGTGTGATATTCAATATATCGTGCAAATGAAATTAAGTAAAGCTTAATTTTCTATGAATGAGTATTGCCAGAGGTGTAAGGAATTTACTGATAACCAAATAATTGAGTGCAGATTATCCTTTTATACTATAACTCGGCCTCCTAAACAACAAGAGTACAAAGTAAGTATTGCTTAGTAATACCTAGTCTCATTATACTATTCAATTTGTATATTGCTCATTGATTGCCACTTTTGTAAATATTCCATAGCTACAAATATGCATCAATCTGATATTATCTAATTTATGTGTACATGGTGTCATTCAAAAATGTGTTCAAATTACAATAACATTGGACACAGCAGTGATATATAACTTGAAATGTACCCATTAATAACAATATTCAAAATGAAATTCCCTCTTTGCGTTTCAAATTACATGACGATCTGGTGCCTAAACTTGGATTGGAGTATGTTGGGATTTATGTGTTGTGGTTTTTGTGAAAATTAGTAAAACAGTAAACATACATTTCCTTTCAAATTATGCTAAAATGAGGCTTCTGAAATCTGTCAGTGTTCTTTAATACTACTAATATGCTGCATCAAATCAAGACGAGTCTCTTAAGGTATTGCAGCAATCATTCATTGTCAAACAGAGAAATAAAGTTTGCATTGGAGTCTTTTCCTATATCGTTCACATTAGGTAGATACAATTGAAATTTGATTAAATAATTTTAAATTCACTGTCACATCAGAACCTGAATGGTCCTCACAGCGTCCTCTCTGAGACCAGAACAAAGCTCAGACAAAGGCGTGTGTTTGTGTTTTTCCTGGATAGTCTTCCATTCTGGAAGGAGGCAATTGCAAGTCTTCATCTGTTAAACTGTCCAATCAGGTACAAGGGCGTCGTTCCTCACAACGGGTGAGTGTCTGTCACTTCCTGTTGTGTCATACGTGCGAAACCTCAAGTCAAACTTCGCTGCTGCAGGGCAAAGTTTGACCTCCTCGTGTGACAGAGGACCGTGCTTTATCCCCAGCAGCCATGTCTGTCATCATCACCATCACATATTCCTGTACGTTGCCTTTTCCTCTGTGGTGTTTTACCTTGTTATTGTCTTCAAGTTTCAGTTGCTTTCTAATTATTCAAACCAACATGTTATTCTTAGATACATGTACATGCCTGCATTGTTGTGTAATACTGCAGGAGTCATCAACCGCTGTACTTTTTAATTGTGGCCAGGGCTGCTCAGTACTGAAAATCATCATCACTGCAATATTTATTTGAAAAGTTATGTAATATATCCTATACAGTAAATGCTTAATATCAAAAATCACTTCATAATGAAGAATTATATTCAACAACTCAACTGATTATGGAGCATTTTGTGTAATTACATCTACACTCAACTCAATGAACTCAAATAAAACAAACAGAACATGAACTACAAACACACACCTAGAAAGACGATGATGTCAATTTTTGAACGATTCCATTTATGTTTCACATTGTTTTGACAAAGAATTGGAGCGTGGCTACGAGAGAGTTCGTTCAGTGGAAGTGAAGTGAATGAGGTGTCTTATTTGAAAATATCAAAATAAGTGAGAAGGACGGTCAGACTTCTGTTGAGTTGTCTAAATGATCTTTAGATAAATGTCATGTATCAATTTTCCCCTTAGCATGTCATTGACTAAATATGTAACCAGTACGAATGTGGAGTGCAGGTTTCTCTGTGAGAAATAAGACCATTTCAGGGTAATTGACCTGATTCACTTCCATTTAAAGTAAGAGTGTTTTATTTTTAAAATGTTGGTGATTTTACCTGGTTTATAAAGCTGTTCAGGAATCACTTAAAGCATTTGTCTGAATTTATACCTTGATTATTTGTTTTGTTTACAGTCATGTGCAGCTCCTCAATGGATCAGTGGAAAGTTTGAATCTGTCTTGAGCTTTAGGTGGCACAGATACATATAAATGATGTGTGAGTTGTGTGTGTGTGTACTGAGAGTGGGAGGAGGCATGTTGGTTGCATTAGTTTGCACAAAGTTGGACCAGAGTAGGAAAATAAATATTCACTTTGTCACTTCCTCTCATGGCTTGTGACCACATCCTCATATTTCTGTGTATACCTTGTGCCTCTACTTTTGCCACATGGGTCTGGATGATTTATTTGTTTTTGTGTGGGAAGAAATAGCTGTCATGACATTAGTATTAGAGGCGTCCAGTCCTTGAGCTGATTTGTGAGCAGTGATTTAACTTTGGGACAGGAAACCTGCTTTTGAAGGCCGCTCTCTCTGTTTCCAGGTTGTAATCTATCAGCCTGCAACGAGACGCCGGCCCCGGGGCTTGACGTATGCTGCACATGTGTCATCAGTCACTGAAGCCTCAGCTCACAGCCCATTTTTAACACTGCTCCTGTCTGTTGTGCCTAGGTCGACTCACAGGGGAACATTTTGCTGACAACCTTGGAGATCCACAACGAGGTGGGGGGGAATGAGGTCACAACCACCGTGCGCGAGACTCACAACTCTTCCTCCATGATGTTTGACAACACGGGGGTCCAGTACAGGAAGCCGAGTGGGCCACGGGAGCCGGGCCGCCTCAGCCTGGATAGGAACGCACATCAAAAGAAGACCCGTCTGCGGAGACGATCCTCGCAGCTCAAAATCAAAATCCCAGACCTCACTGATGTGAACGCCATCGACAGATGGTCTCGGATAATATTCCCCTTCAGCTTCTCCCTCTTCAACCTAATCTACTGGCTTTACTATGTCAATTAATGCACTGATGTTTTTTAAACCCAGCTCTGTCTCATTCTTGTTTTTAAATGAGAGAAAACATTATGGTGTGACCGTAATGAACTTTTTTTTTACACAGCAAGTGCAGACTTTGATCAGAGAACTGTCACTCAGGCAGTGTGCACATACACTGTCACAAGGATTTATCTACAGAATGTGTATTTTACAGACTGCCGTGTGAATGACTCTGTTCTGACTCATATGGAGACCTGGGACATTGTACAGTATCTCATGGGTTGAAGCACAGACTCTTATTTACATTGTTTTAGGTCAGTTATCAAAACTGTCCCCATAATTTCAGTTTAAAATGTGGTCACTTTGTTACAACATATTGCGACTGACAGAGACAAATGGCAATGATTTCATTGTATTATTACATTACATGATTCCCTTGTTATAATAGTATACACACACAAGACAAACTGAGTTTATGATCTAGACACGATTTGCACCAAAACCAAACTTGAAGGAATGGTTGTAAATTTTGGTTATGTGCATTTGTTTGCCAAGAATGAGTTTAGGAAGATAAATATCACTCTCATGATTTTACAATAGATATCAAGTTATTCATAGTAGGGAGCAACAGAAAAATATCTTAACTATTCCTTTAAATTACCTTACAGTTGATACCAACTGTAGCTGTTTTTAAAGTTCCACACAGGAAATGCTTTATGACCTAAAACCACAGAGAGCCTTGTGGAAATCCCTACCAGCATTTTATAAAAGCCATTATTCTGTCATTCACTGCCTCTATTTAAAATAATATACTTTAACAAACTGTTGGAAATGGGCTTAGTCTTGATGCAAGTTTGATGAAAAGATTGACACCACTCATGTTTGTCTGTTGAGGATGAAGCTAGATGTAAGCATAGCTTAGCTTAGCTAAAAGACCGGAAACGCTGGGAAACAGCGAGCCTGACTCATGATTTCACATTTGTTTGATTCAAACACAAAACAGATTGTGTTTTGATAGCTGGTTACATGCTGTAGCAATTTCTTGGCGAGACAAAAACCTGTCATTTTAATTTGTTTGTATGTTTAGATTAAACTTGATATTGTTAAGATATTAAGTGTTAATTTGTGAGTTTTGGGGCTTCTGGTAAGTTGGTTCTACCATCGGATTCCTTTTGTTTCTATCCTTTATGCTAAGCTACGCTGGCGTGTGAATGGTATCAATTTTTTCATCTAGCACTCAGCGAGAAAGTGAATCCAAGTATTTCCCAAAATATCAAATTATTTCTTCCACATTTGCAATTAACCATTTGATATTACTTATTATAAATAAAAATGTATATACCAACCAACAAATGGACAATGAATCACATGACAGCAGAAAAAGGTGCCCAGGCTCATTACAATATCAGTTTACAATATTTCATTTATTTATTTGTACTCATTGTGCTTTTAGGACTGCTGTCTGATTTTTAAACGTATGCAATATATCTCACATGACAACCTCCTTCTTTCTGCTTGTTGTTTTGGGGAATGAGCGCAGACTCACTGTTGCAGATCTCATGTCCGGTTTTCTCTTCCCGCTCAGATTTCTTGATCCTCCCTGGAATTTAATGTACATACTGTAACTGCACATTTTCTTTCAGCTCATTACATGGCTATGTTGTCAACAATGTTTTGCTCAGTGACTTCTGGACTTGCTGTTTTGTTTTGTTGGTCTTTACACAACATTATCATTTCCTATTTGTGTTGTAAATATAAAACACAATATCACAGCTCGTGATTATTTCCATTCTTTCTTAGAGGAGGAAGTAGATCATGTAAAATACTGGTGAAGGAATTGGGAGCTATAAGCAGCACTGTCTCCAAAGCAACAACACTTCTCGCAACGCACCATCTGCACCACTTGGTTGAGCGACTTGCAGCGCGTAGGAGTGACACCAACTGTCAGGCGTCCACTCAGCTTAGCGCACCTGCTTGACAGAGCCCAACATCCCATAACAAATCAGACAAAAACGCATTACTAATGTGCAGCACTTCCAAAGAGTGTGGAGACTTGAAATAGTAACTGCACTTGAATTCCATTGGTTTCCTAAATTGCCCCAAAAACTGCTGTTTATTTTTTTCTACTTGATTATACTGGTAACGACTTGACAAAGGCTTAATGTGTATGTAATTTTACTAAACGGACAATTTTTTTGTATTTATAAGCATTAAGTAAACTCTTAATAAAATGTGTTCCTTGACAATACAAAAGAAAGGTCACTGGTATAGTAGTAATTATCATTGACAAACATTTGTCGATGAGAAGAGTTTAAGTCGTCAAGTTTGGACTGGTTTGTTGATCAAAGGAGAAAGGATCAAACTTCACAGGAGGTGGCTAAATTCAGTTACTGACAGACATTTACACAGCCAGTCCCTGTGGTTATTAGACGGTGATACACATGGAAAGTGTGGGATCATTTCGAGAGAGAGACAAAAAACTCTGGCGTCAAACTTTCAACTGTAGGTTTTGACGTAAACACGTCTTATCTGAAGCATGTATGTCAGTAGCCCAACATTAGCCTCTTAGCATAGCAGCTCACTTGAAAATATGCCTAGAAAGATAAATATGCCCCATCATTACAAATTCATAATCATGACCAGCCAATAGTCTACAAGTCATCACACATTTATGATATTAGTTAGTTAGTTAGCAATGTTATGAGTAACATGGTTAACATTTCCCTACATTGCAGAAAAATACAAAATTGTCATATTTTTGCCTTTAAAATGTACAACACACACAAAGCAGTGTGTGCGTGCGTGCGTGCGTGTTATATATACAGTCCATGATATGAACACCACTGACGTCATGGCACAGCGCCTCTCACTGGAGCAATGCTGGAATAATTTTCATAACCAGTAAAACAGCTGTAACTGTTCCTCCAGCTTTCATTAGTCATCTACATCCTTCATTTATTCTCCTCGTTCTTTCCCTGCTGTATTTCATTTCCACAAACGTTAATCATTCTAATCTCATTTCTGTCAATATGCCTGGTTGTCCTTATTCCCCCACTTGTGTTAATGTTGTGATTGGTGTAGTGTGGGATGAATGGTTTGAAGGATTCTGCTGCATGATATGCCGACACTGTCATAAGTTAATTTGCAGAATTACATCTGATTTATAGTGCTGCACTTCAGATAGATAGCAGGCGTATATTTCTCTACATTACTGTGATGTGACACACGAGCAGCCAATTTTAGGACATAATCTGACTGAAAAACTGGTAGCTGGCTTTAATGTCAGGGCAGATGTGTTTTTAACTTAGTCAAGTCATGAAGCCATTGAAATTAATTGAAACTATAAAATTCTTTTTAATGGTTGATGGTTCAGAATGGACTCTGGCTACAAATATACACCAATCAGCCACAACATAAACATTTTAAACGATAGTGTGCTTCCTGACTCTGTGTGTGTGTGTGTAAGAGAGAGAGTGAGAGAGAGTTGCAACTTTCCAAAAAGTGTCCACTATCATTTTATAAATTAATTGCGCATCATTTCCAATTAAAGGGATAGTTCACCGAAAAATGAAAATTCCCTCATTATCTACGACTATGCCGATGGAGGAGTGGGTGAAGTGTTTGAGTCTACAAAACACTTTCAGGGTTAAATAGCGTCACAGTCAAATCCAATGCAATTGAAGTAAGTGGTGATGTGAAAAAACAACAGAAAAAGAAACTAAAATTAAATGACTCTATGCTGCCCCTGTGATGTCAGCCAAGTGTCTGTCAGCCCCGACATTCATATTTCACTCGAAACTGCATCATTTACACCACGCTAAACACATGGTGAAAATAATGTAGTTTCGAGTCAAATTTGAATGAACTGAATGAGTCCACAAAACACTTCACCCACCCCACCATCAGCATAGTGGTGAGTTGATAATCAGTGAATTTTCATTTTTCAGTGAACTACCTCTTTAAGGTACATGCTGCCAAAAACATCTCCAAATCTCTTGGTACAATGATTTAAGCACAACACAAGCCTTGAGAAATGTCTGTCAGTCGCTATACGATGACAATGAAACTGCAACAAAGTCGCAGGTGTGTAGTTCATTCAGAAATGACAACTTTTAAAGAAACAAAAACCTTCCTGTCAGATAAAATCCCTAAGGATGCTGGACAGTAAACAATGTAGCCTGGAGGATTCGAGTGCATAATAAGAGTTTTTACAGAACTGTCAGATGGGTGGGTGAGACAGAATCCCTCAAAAAAAAAAAATCATCAGGCATTACATTTGCTCAGTAATTGGCATGTAAATAAAGGATCAGATGGTACAAGGAGAGAAAAAAAGATTGGTGATTCAGAGAAGCTTAAAGGAGTATGGTGGAATGTAATGAAATTACGCAGACAGACACCATTAGATAAAAACATAATATTATAGATCAATGAATAAGTGAATTACTGTTAGAATGAAAATGTTTTTTTTTCTATGCCTCTGGATTCTTGGATAAGGAACCTCAGTGCGTGTAAGCGCAATAAAATCATTAAAGAAACCAATCAAAGACTTGATTGGCTTCTTTGGAAACTATAAGGAAGATAATGAGACCAAAGGCAATAATACATGTCTAGATGAAACAAGACAGTTTAAATTTCTATATGTTCACAAAGGATAATTCATCTGAATGAGTGATATTAAAAGCAGAGGCAGGAGCAACAACAGCCGCTGCATGTGGAGTGAGTGATCCTCGAAGAGCAGGTGGACCAATAACCAGGAGCTGAGGCTGCCAACACAAATTGGGTCTCTAGGTTCATCAGAGACGCTCTTCATCACCAGCAGAGTGTGAGCAATCAACGCAGAAGATGTATGATGCTGCTATCGTCACAGGTGGCCTCACACTGCATGTGCCGTGACTCACATTGTTAGAAAATTTGCCCTGTAACAAAATGGTGTAAAACAAATCTTTCCCATTAGATCAATAACACCACTAAGATTCCCTCTAAGTTCTGTCTCGGAAAGCTCTCAACTCTTCCATCATGGAAAATAAATGGCGCAATGTTTGATTTGAAACTTTAGCATCAAAATCCACAAACTAAAGCCCCTGGACAGACTGTCCAAAGTGTATTGTTTAAGTTAGCTGCAGAAAAAGATTCATTCATTCCCATGCGAGTTGGTCCAAACTGAAGATAATCCAGATACTGTCCCTCGTCGTCTTTGGCAGACGGGATGAATAATGCACAGTTTCAGCCTGGATTGCTTGTCTTCAACCACTGGAAACATTGTTTAACATATTAAATAGAATATTTCTTTGTAGAACATGTGATTTAGAAAACATTTGCTATAGTATCGGGATCATTCTTTTCATTTTGTTAGTTTTTTGGTTTTATTGATTGAAGTTTAATCTTATTTTTCCCCCACATCTGATTCAATTTTGGTCGTTTTACTCCAAGTTTCAGACTCTTGCATGTTGAAGCAGTTTTTTTTTTTAACAGCCCGCCGATAAAAACAAGGTCATTTTACTAAAAAATTCAAGTTAAAGTGAAATGGTGTGGAATTAAAAAGTGAATGTGCAAAGCGGCAAAAGTGTTTTTCAGTGTGTGTTGTCAGCACAGAGACTAAATAACAGTGTTTTTCAAGTTCCTGTCGATTATAAGCGCGGGGCTGAAAAAGGCTTGGTAAGTGGATGGTGCGCTCCAGAAAACTCACCATTAGTTCAAGGTCAATAGCCAACACGGAGCAGGAGCGACAGTCACTGATATTTCAATGAATCACACAGAAATCTATGATGAGAAAATAATGATACTTCATATTTGTAATTATAGTATTACAAATTAACTGGTTTATAGCAGAGTAGAAGAAAGTCCTTGTGAAACCACAGTTCACTTTCATGTGGATGTCCGTCTTCACAGAAGACATTTCCCCCCCACTGCTACTATAATGTATTTCCTCCTTTTTTTCTTTACAATTGATTCGACATCTCCGAGTGGAACCTCTTTGGACTTGACTGTGCACTGTCAGCAGTCTGTGGAAAGCACAGCGTCTCAGCTTTTCACTGCATCCTTCTATTGCCTTTGTCTCTCCACCATTTTTCAGTGATACACTCATTATTACAATCAGCAGCTGTGTCCAGCTCTCTGAGCCTGTTTTGTTTGCACGTTTATGTTTGTGTTGGTCGCCTAATTCTGGCAGGAGTTCAATATGATAAATCAAGCGTTTCACCTCGAAAGATCCCGTGTTTCTCGAGTTGTGAATTTGTTGTTCCGACTTTGGTGTGTTCATGTGATTTAAAATGTGGAAAAAAACAGGGAACACCTCTTTCCAATACTTGCATGATAACAAAGAGCAAAAAAAAGGATCAGGTGTGACAGGCACATAAATCATCATATGAACCCACAATCACACCGACAGCAACACTGGTCCACGGCACTTACTTCTCAGCTGTTTTAGAAAAGAGAACAGAAGGTGCAAATATTTAAGTGGGCCACAGTGGTGGTTTACTGAAGGCAAGGAAGTTTTATTTATAAAGCACATTTCATACACAGAGGTAGATTCAAGTGCTTCCAGGGACATTAAAAAAAACAGAAAAGATTTAAAGAAAGCAAATTTTAAAATCAGAAGCCAAATACAAGGGATAAAAGTGGTGTAAATGTGGTAAAGGGATTAAAAGAGGTAAAATGAATAACAATTATAAAATGTGAATACAATTATTAAAATAAATTGAAAAGAATATGTGTTAAATAATAAAATGCAATGATGGTTTGACCTTGTGAAATAGCTTAATTAAAGGCACAACCTGATTTTAAAAACTGCAATGGATGGAGCTTTCCCAAGACCATCAGGCAGTTGGTCCCAGCGCTTAGACTTATGTGCCACTATCATGTCTGTTATGTAATTAGGAGCAGCTCCATGATGAAGGATGATGTCAGAATTATTTCGGTGGGCCGTCTGGGCCAAAAATTTCCAATCCATCCCTGGTTTTACCCATAGATACATATTTTAGGGTCAGAGTTACTAACACAGGACTCACTCTTGCCAATTCAGTGACAATGACTAGCTAAAGCAAGAATCTAACTTCATTATATCAATGATGAGAAGACAATAAAACCTGAAATACATTAGTAAAAATATGAACAACGGGCTAATAGAAGCCTATATGTGCTCGGTCAGGTGTGTGATCGAGCACATCTTGTAGTTTTATTTGTTTCTGACCATAAAATCTCAGATGCCTGCAGCCCTCGA